CCGGACGCAAGCCATTCTCATACTTAATGCACTTAGAGAACTCCGCCGTAACAGTTGCATAATGAGGATGAAACTGCACTAATTCCACAAACTTAGCCGTGTAATCTACCACATACATGTTGCCTTGCTTCAACTCAAGGAATTCCATTTCCTTTTTACCCTTCACACTCTCAGGATAGTACTTCCTAAAAAATTCAGCGCGGAACAAATCCCAAGTTATTTCTTCGTCATCCACCTCAAGAACTTGCCTCATACTGACCCACCAGTCATCAGCCTCTTCCCTCAACATATGAGTCCCAAGTCTCACCTTGTTTCTTTCATCACAGTTCATAACTCTAAAGATTCTCTCAACCTCCTTCAACCAGATCTGAGCATCGTCAGGATCAAACCTTCCTTTGAATACAGGCGGCTGATTCTTTCTAAACTCATCATTCGCATTCACATTCGGCGCACCGTGCACCGCCCTTGCCATAGCCTCCAATGCCACAACCATAGCAGTGTCATTACGACCAGCCATATTCTGAGGATTCCCAAAAATAACAACAAGGTCAAACAACCGTTTAACCAACACAACAAGAAGACAGATACAACTGACTCAACACTGGCTCTGATACCACTTAATGTAACACCCCCTTTCTATACCACCAATTAATCAATTAAAATCATATAAGAAATTAATAAAAGTTTCATCAGAGTATAAATTAAAACATGGTATAAAAGAGGCGCATCACATTATCATCGAAACGAAACATAAATAATACCTGCTCATAAAGATATGTAACAAAAGGGGTAAATCTCAACTAAAAACAAAGCATAGCGCTTAAAACCCACATATCAATATTTAGAATAAAGCGGAAACATCTAAACATTGAAATCATTTCATTAACATAAGCATCATATACATCATTCAGATTAATTCAATTCATCAGTTGTGTTTACAAAACATTCAGCAGTAGATACATACACAGATGTATCACAAAAGAATCAAAACAATTCCTAACTACCCAATGTTACATATCAGAGCCATCTGACTAAAAGAAATGAAGAATCGCTTCACAAAAGACCTCCAGCATCCTACTCTGCAATGCCTCATAAAGCATTATAAAATAACAGAAGGGTGAGAAACATTATCATAATAAACAATGCATAAAATTATATATATCATGAAACACAATTATAACATACTCGCAATTCACATTTCTCACCACAACTTGTTACAATACATCACAATGTACACGTACATAATCAACCACATTCACCAATTCATGCTTCACAATTCATAGCATTTCACTTAAACATTTGCAATTATGTTCATTTCACAAAAACATCATATAAAGATGATAATGCAACTCATAGAGACCGACTCACGACTCTATGCAGATGCGAATGCGGTACCGACTCATTCAACAAGTTCAATTGAAGAACCAAAATGGAACCATCGCTCGTTACCGAAGTAACTCCCCGTTGGGCCTACGATGTTCACCCATCGCTCACACCCCACATGGGCACACGATGTTTCAGGATTGCTCACACCCCACACGAGCACACAATCCGGTTGTTCACACCCCACAAGGGCACACAACTGTTCTGCAGATTCTCCACGGAATCAAAATAAACCATCGCTCACACCCCACAAGGGCACACAATCGTTTCTGCAGATCCTCCTAGGGATCAAAGTAACTAAACCATCGCTCACACCCCACAAGGGCACACGATCGTTTATGCAGATCCTACGCGGGATCAGACACACAAGAATGCAATCATGATGCTACACATGCAACACGACTCAATACACTCTTAGAATCCACACATGTTTACAAACATATTCATGCATTCTTCATATTATACAAGTATATACAAATATACACACTCACATTAATATCACCATGCATTCCCATTTAATCCAAACAAATGTACGAAATTGCCAAACAACCACATCATACAATATAGGATTCACGCCATACGGCTACCCACAACACAATATAACTCGGCATGATCGATGCCTCGAGCAAGGAAATAATCAAAGTTAAGTCAGAAATCCGACCACGGATGGAAACATTAAAGAAAAACACAATCTGTCACGTTCGCTACCCTGCTCGCTTAGCGAGCTCCTAGTGAATATTCGCTACTTGTTCGCCTAGCGAACAAGCTCGCGAAGGCAAACAGAAGCCTCTGACTTCGTTCGCTACCTCGCTCGCTCAGCAAACCCCTAGCGAACCTTCTCTACCCCCATTCGCTACCAGCGAACACCACAACATGCATTCTATCCAAGTCAGGGACCGTTCGCTACCTATTCGCTACTGCTCGCTTAGCAAACGTTCGCGACCAGCTCGCCTAGCGAACGTGCTAGCGAGTGTCTGCGAACTCAGAATTTCCCCACTGTTCTTCCACTCCAAAACTCTTGGATTCACCCGATTAAGTCTCAAATCATTCCAGCACTTTAGCCTAACATCACTCGACATAAATGCTACTACTTAATCTCACTTTCACCAACGAAAACTCGGTTTCTATCGATTAAATCCGTATTATGCCCTAGAATGAAAAATGAGTAAAACTCTCCCCAATCCAAAACAAAACCAACAAGAACACACATAATCATACACATTGCAAGAATAATAAAGTTTCACACTCTTACCCGATCAATCGAAAGCTTAGAAGTTGATTCTTGATGATTCTAGGTTTTTCTCCTCTTCCTCCTCTTTTCTCTTCTCTTCCTTTCTTTCTCTTCTTTTTCTTTCCTTTTGGTTTCTATTCTCCCTATTCTTTCTCTTTTCCACTTATACTCTTTCTACTCTATTTCTCTCAAAATAACTACTAATCAAGGATTATCTAAAACACCCTCTAATTAATTCCCAAAACTCTCCAAATAATAAAATACCACAACATACACACATAACATGTTATCATATAATTCCACAATAAAATAACAATTAACCAAATAAATTAAAAGACTCAATAAAATAATGAAAAATTCAGAATCGGAACGTTACACAACCAACCGACCCGTGTATTCATACTCGTGTATTCGTAGGTAGCCTTATTTATTTGTTTGGGGTAATATGAAAATCAATTAATGTTCTTTACTTTTCTTGCTATTGTCTATCTCATAGCATGTGACTAGTCAAAATTAAATGAACAATTGAAATAATATTTTTTTTTTTCTAAATTTCTTAAGTCTATCACCACTCTTTCTCTGTGTCTCTCACCTCTTCCTCTCTATTTTCTTTCTCACTTCTTCATCACCATAATTTTCTTTCACAATAGCAGATTGAATCTCTTTTACTCTTAGTTTATTGCACTCATCATTTTTATTCTTCACAATCTATTTGTTCTTTTCTTTCAAGATTTCATTTTTATGACATGAATCTTCATAACTCAAATAAATCTAGATTTGATTGTTTTTTTTTTTCTGTTAAAAAATTAGATCTAACATAATTTATACAAATTTTGATTTTGCATTACTGTTGAACAACTCAACCGGTTAAACCGATCCGCTAAACCGGAAACCGAAACTAATTACCCGTATGACCCGAGTCCAGTTTTTGAGCAGAATTGAGCTTTAATTCTACACTCGCAGTTTCAGTCGGTTTAAGTTTTTGGACCCAAACCCGCTCGAACCCGAACCGTGTCCACCACTAATTGTAGGTAAACTTGTGAAATTGAAGTTGAAATGGAGTCAATGTGCTACATGAAAACAGATATATGTTTTGTACCTTACTTGAATAATTGTGTGCGGACTCTTTGGGAAGTGTTTGACTAATGTTTGGGATTTGGATTTACATAATAAAATTTTATTTTTACTATGTTCTGCTTTTAACATTTGACAAAGTTTCACTTATAGCTCTTTTTCACATTGTTTGTATTTTTATTAGAATTCTGATTGCTTATAATTATTGTTCTCTATTAATTTTGGTCCTGTTTTGTTTATATTAAAATAAATTTAGTTTAATCTTTTTAATTTATCTTGAAGGTGAAGAGATTCTAAGACCTTTGATGATTAGTAACAAATAAATTAAGTTTTCTTTTTGTTTAGAAAAATATTAACTGTGGGTTCACCTGCACGTTATGAATTTCCTGCGGATTTACTCACGGTCCGCACAAACTATGGTGTTACCTGCGGCTTATCTCCCTGCGGATTTATTTGTGAATTTACTACGATCTTCCAACCAAAATATTTTCCACAAAGGTTTTAGCTGAGAACCAATAATAACAGAAAAACTACAGGAAACCTATTTCCGGCAGATTTTTAATTTAAATCTGCAGGAAAAACAGAGTATTTATAGTATTGTATCCAAAATTCAATCTTAAATAAATCTTATTAAACTGAATTAATTCGGATTAGATCTTTTTTAGTTAATCATTTCAAACCGAATTAAACTGCACTTATTTTTAATCTTTAAATCAAATAAATTTTATTTTGAAATTGATTCAAACCGCACACCGAAGGCCCTACCAAACACATTAAGTTTGAATGCATTTCAAATGAGTTTATAAGTTAAAGACCGAAAATTTGATATTGCCAAACAGAACCTTATCATTCAAATAATACATGAATGAGTAGCACGCTGTTAACCTCAATGTCCTCTCATATTATAACAGAAAGTGGACCAATGATGTGAGTTTCATTGGCCACTAAAATCACAATGATAAGTATATCATCAACCATATCTTGCGGTATTTGTTTAATACACCACAATTGAAACACAAGTGCTGTTCTTATTTTATTAATTGCAACCACTCACAAAAGCAAGCACTTTATTAGATTGACTATACAAAAGAAAACGATGCCATTCTTATCAAGAATAAGGCCACATATAGGCCCCGGATAAAAAGGAGAGAACATATGTTAAAGTAAATTATTGTTGATTTTTATGTTAACTTTATAGGATTCCAATTCCTTTTCTTAAGGGATAGAATAACAAAACACAGCACTAATAATAGCCACTTTTAATATGTTTTGTTACTAACATTTTTTTTCTTCCATTTCAGATTAATACAAAATGAATGATTGGGCTCCTCCTCTCATAGCTGCAGCACTCTTTTGGCTATTATCACCAGGAATGATCTTTCAGCTTCCAGGAAAGAATGCACCCTTTGAGTTTCTGAACATGAAGACAACAATCGCATCAATTTTCGTACACGCAGTTATTTATGGTTTGCTTCTTATGTTGTTCTTTGTTGTTCTTAATGTTCATCTTTATATCACTTGAAGTAGATTGATTTTTCTATTTAGGGTTTCATGAGTAACTTGATTGTTGTTTATTGAAAGTGTTATATTTATTGCATGTTATCTTTATGTAATAGTGAAGTTTTATGTTACTATGTAAGTTGATCTCTTACATAATTCTCATAATATTTTCTTCATCTTTTCTCTAACTTTCATCAAACATTTTTAATGGACAATTCTCTATATTAGATTGCAAGCAACAAGATTATGAGAAACTAATTTATGAAGAATGTGGATATCTTTATTGGCTAAGAAAAACAATATGTTTTCTCTTTATTTTTGTGTTGGAAGAGTTGAAATATGGTTTCATCGATGAAAGTATTTTGGGTGTGATGTATGAAATTGTCCATTTGGAAAGACATCAAGTCCAATGTATAAAAACTGATTCAGAAACTAAAATATTTTAAATTTGGTGCATTGCAAGATGTTTGTGGTCCAATGACTATTAGTACTCATGAAGTAAAAGGTATTTTTTTTTTTTAATTTTTATTGATGATTACTTCTGGAAAGTTTGGGTATATGCTCTCAATACAAAAGATCATGTGTTTGTACTATTTACACAGTTTCATGTTAGTGTTGAGTGGGAAACTAGTATGAAGTTAAACTGTGTTTGCATTGACAATAGAGGAATGCATGAGAGCTTTCAATCGATATTGAATGAGAAATGGAATTTGAAACGAAGATGCCTCAACATAATGGCGTGTTTGAGAAGATGAAAAAAACTATTGTTGAATGGCTGAGAACAATGTTATCTCATGCCAAGTAAACTAAGATTTTTTGGTGAAACATTAGTTAGTGCAGTTGATTTGATCACCTGATCCCCTTCTGATTCGTTAAATGATGACATTTATGCTGGATAAAAATATGAAGTATAGAAGAAATCTATAGAGGTAAATACATCCTTTAAATAATTTATTTGATTTTCAAAATGAAATTTAGAATTTGAGTTACGGAAAACGATTTGCAAAAATAGAGACATTGTGCTTATTTTAAAAGGAATCACAAATGCAATTATATTACAATTCAAAATTATCTTTATATTCTTCAAAGACAATAACAAAAAGTTACACGCTATATTGAATTGATAAATTGCAAATTATACAAGATGTGTTATTTACAAAATTCAATTGCTATAGGATTCTAACTCCACAGTTTGCAAATTTTAATCAACACTAAAACACAAATAAGTTTTGATTCTAACAAAACCTATGCTTATCTAATTAAACGCTACCAACAAGAATTAACGATAAAATACACTAAGAAACGATTAACTAAATGTGCAATAGCCTAAGAAAATTAATATGAGAGAGAGAGAGAGGGGGAGAAGAAATCCTACCTTGTTTGTATGCTTCCGCATAACACTATCAAGGAAAGCCTGGAGAGAAGAACCTTATTTTTTTCACTGGAATTTGTCACAACCAATCACAATTATCACAATCTTGCAAGTCTTTTGAAAAAATTTACATACTCTTCAAAGAAATGTTAGTTCCAAGAAAAATCTTCATCAACAATTACAATCTTCACAATCAAGATTTGAATCAAAAATATGAGGTTGAAGATAAATGAATTTCGATTGCAAGTGATTTGAGTTTGCAAAATCAAGAAGAGTGAAAGTTTTTATCACGCAGTTACATACGTTACTTTTGAAAAAAAATGAGGTGACAAAAGATTTATAGGCGTTGGAGATTAAGTACAATAATAGGTGAAAATGGTTGTTAGATTCAACTCAATAATATTTGTTGATTTGAGTCAAGTGAACAAGTAGAGTGGAACAAAATCAACATACATGAAGTGACCCATTTTTCATTGATTCGAGTCAAGTTATAATTGTGATTCGTGTCATGAAAGGTCATTATTCGAGTCAATTTGGACAGAGTCAAACATAAAAATACGAGAAACTATGATTCGAATCATGTGTAAGTGGTGATTTGAATCAAACTGGACAGTGGCTAACAAGAACTTATGTGATTCGAATCACGTGCAACTTGTGATTCTAGTCACAATGTTGCATGATTCGAATCAAGTGAAATCTGTGATTTGAGTCATAGACACAAAATTCTTCTTGTTTTCCTCTATTTGATTTGATTCAAATCATTGCTTGTGAGTTATTTGAGCCACACACATGAAATCTAAAATTTTCAAGTTTTTCAAAATAGTTTAAGATTCAACTTTCTACATAACTTGAACAAATACCAAATATGGTTCGTGTTTCCTTAATCAACCAATTGACTTAAAATACAATGATCATACTCAAATGCAAACACTTGAATTATGCATGCTAACATGAGTGGATTCAAAACTTAATCCAAAGATATACTATTTAAGAGGAGACTCAATAAATAATAATAATAACAAAACAAAAGCTTAAGAGACAAGCAAAAAAATTGTATTGAGGTTCTCCCTCTTAATGTATTAGAGGCATGCAACTTCAATCTCCCCATTTTTAATGTTTGGCAAGTTTTCACATAGAATTGAGTCGACTTTGAGTCATAGCAAACAAACGCCAGTACACCCCTCGAGACATTGCGCACACATAACAACATAAAATGCATAAAAAAATATAGACTCACATTACAAACCCCCCCCCCCCCCCCCCCTTTGAAAAGATAAAATATAGATAGATGGTAATGAGTGTAAATTCCAAATAACCGACAATAAGAAGAAATTTCCAGATGAAAACATGAGCTAAATAGCTAAAAAGAATATACAACATCATAGATCAGATACAAAACAAAAATATAGTCATGCTATATACAAGAAATACACAAATAGACATGCAACAACATATCATCAAAATAAAATTAAGTGATCAAAACTATTATGATTGTAAGATCAAATAATGCATGAACACGTATATGAATGCTCAACTGCACACAATGAACAACACACATTTAACAAGATTTGAAATGCAAAGATGAACAATCATAAGCATGCTAGAAATGAATGATTGAAATAAAGAATGTAATAAGAAAACCAATGAACATATGCAAAATAAACATACGCACAGTGATATAATTGATTACAAGAGTTATAGAGGCATACCAATAGAGTTGGTGAAACTATGATTTGCTATAAGAAAGTGTTAGTGGATAACAAAATAAAACTAGTAACAAAAACTCAACATAAATCTGAATCTATTTAAAAGCACGAGAAATCCAAGATTCCCAATTCCCTACAAATCTTATGAAAAGGTTCCCATGATAATGATTTTGTAAAAACGACAGCAAGATGATTTTTCGTATCAACGTATTCAAAAACAAAGTCCCCCATTTTCAACATGATCTCTAAGAAAATAGTGTCGAATTTCTATATGTTTAGTTCATGAGTAAAGTATTAGATTCTTAGAGTGGCTTATCACGTTAGTGTCATCGCAATTGATTAGAATGCAACCAAGTTTTAAATAGTAGTCTAGCAATTATTTCTTTAGCCATAAGACTTGTGCACAACAGTTATCAGTGGCTATGTATTTATCCTTAGCGGTAGAAAAAGCAACACTATGCTTCTTCTTATTGTGCCAAGAAACTAAACAATTTCCAAACAAATGATAAGTACTACTAGTGTTTTTCCTATTCAACTTGCACACCGAAAAATTAGAATAAAAAATACCTACCAAGCTATATGTTTTACCTTTGGGAAACCAAATACCGTGTCATGAGGTTCTGTTAAAATACCTCAAAATTCTATTTAGAATCTTAAAATGGGATTCTCTAAGTGACGTTTGATACCCGACTCACACACGCACACGCGCGCGCACACACACACACACACACACACACACACACACATAAACATAATATTTAACCTATTTGTCGTTAAATAGAGTAAGGATTCTATAATACCTCTAGATTTGTTGATGTTGATTTCCACTATATTTTCGTCTTTATCGATAAGCATGTTTGACGCCATGGGGGTTGAAATGCTCTTCGAATTTTGCATATCAAATTTCTTGAGAAGCTCCAATAAATACTTTTTTATGCTTATAAAAGTTCCTACTTTGGCATTCTTAATTTGAAATTCTAAGAAATATGTACGCTCTTCCATGAGTGACATTTCAAATTCACTGCATGACACTAGCAAACATCTTGCGACGAGATTCATCAGTGGCGCCCAATATAATATCATCAATGTAAATTGGAACTAAAAGAATATGCTTTGCTTATGAAAAATAAGTTTAATAAGAAAACTGTTTAATGCAAGGTGAATTTAATGAAAACGATTTTAATGCAACTAAACCACTACTTTGATGCAGATGAAAATTAATTTTGATGAAGATAAAGAAATAATTTTGATGCATATGAAAAATAGTTTTGATGCAAATGAAAAATAGTTGAATGATCATGATGCAATGAAAACAATTAAGGTAAATTAAGTGAAACTATACGAAATCGAAAAGAAAGGAACAATCATACCAATTATGATGATCTAGGACTAAACTTGATGCATAATTAAAGTTATCAAATAACAACACTAATATAACAAACATATTACAATACGATCAAAAATATGATTGGATACATCTTCCTTCATATGTATTGAGAATTCATTAAAACTCATAAACACTCTTAAACAAAATATCAATAGATAGAACTAGGTATCCAATTTTAGTTAGGTCCTTGGGGATTAGTTAAAGGAAACTTAGGTATCCATGTCATTTTACCATTAGTAATTGGACATTCATAATATGACAAAAAGGCCTAATGTGACCTTTATCACCACAATAATGACATACAACTTAAGATGAAATAATTTTTTTATTTCTTCTAGTAACGTGAGGGTTTTTCTTAAAAATAATCCCTCTATCACTCGAGAAAGTATAATTAATAGTAGGTAGCGAAATAGCATATGTTAATTGTCCTTTGAGATTTTTAATTTCAAATTTTAAAGTTGGACAAGTAATGCATTGTACTCTTTCTACCTTTTTAACTAAAGTATTAGAAACATTAAAGTTGGCCAACTAGAGATGTATGCGCTTCTCTTAAGGAA